GTGGTGAGCCAATTAGCAAAAGTGATTTTCTCTTTTAAATCACTAAATGTCATCTGAAATATTCTTAAAGATCTATTCCATTTATTTCATTCTAGATCATTTCCTCGGAACTCTTTTTTTTATAATGATGTTCACCTTGTACAAACCCCGAAGGTTACATAAGGTAAAGGGTTACAGTTTAAGAGGCACGGTTTATGCGGATATATGTAAAATGTAACAGAGTGGAAAGAGAAGACTAGGTAGTCCATGACTTTATATGGCATCAGTCCTTCATCTTAACCAGGATTTGCCCCTTGTAGATTTAGAGGATAGCAGAAGGAGTTAGGCACTTACGGAGGACAGTACAGGGAAACGACCGTTTTTCCAGCATCTTTAACTATGGATTGCATGTATGAATTCCACTTGAGGTCTGGGCTGAGTCCTAATAGTCGCTCAAGACGCCGGCCCTCCGTGACAAGTCATACATTCATCGTGTTTGTTGAAAGTTCTCTATCGGTTCGGTGATCGTGGAACGCCACTAACTTCTCCAGGAAATACCTGACTCTACCTGACATGTTCAACCTTTACAGAGTCAAATCAACACATAAATGGAGTATCCCTGCCTTAGTTGAGCTGGAGTAACATAATCCTCTCTTACCACCCTGTACAGAGTTGAAAAGCGCTTACGCTAACTTTTGGTTGATGATTTAGCTTCCAATATACAACCCCTTTTCCAAAGACGCCAGGTCGCAAGATTATAGTTACTACATCGCTTTTTCCAACAATAATGTAATGACGAGCTACGTTAATAGTTCCATCTATTCATGCCATAGAAACAGGCGAGCTATCAACATTTACTTCATATTCAACTGATAAGAATGACGTTCCATTCGGACAGATTCAAGAGCGTTTGCTTTGTCAATAAGTTTCTCGAAATGATGCTTTCTCGACCACTATCTTCTTAACCCCTTCAAGTCCATGATCAACCCTTTTTTATACGTCATCTTCTCATAATCTGAATTTCTAATTCTACAGCAGACGTTACGTAATATCATGAGTTCCGTAACCTATCGTGGTTTTTCATGGGCACCATATGTATTGGTTTGAATTCAGAAATTTCTTTCTGCTAGACTCTTGGATAGACAAAGCTAGAGAGACTAGACTGTACTGCTTTTTAATTCATAGCGTCATGAAGATGGGTTCATGCCTTTTTCACGATTAGAATTGGCACGCCGATTCTATTTTCCGTGTTGATAACCTACACGTTATCTACACATCAAAAATTATAGTCAGAAACTTATATTTTTTTAATCTATAACTATTACTGGATTTTTAACGAAGTATAATTAATACTTGATCACCTTGTCGGGTGGTATCATTATATACCGACTATATCTCTGTGCAGAGAAGTGAAAAATGTCCAAAATGCCCCCTATTTAAACTGTCTATATTTTTATGTCTATTGAAAGCCAAAGAAATGTCTACCTTTTTTCATCTCGTGCTAATGAAGCATAGGTCTACCTTTTTGATATGTCTAAATGGCAACAGAAGTAAACCAAGGCCTGAGATTTTTTAGAAACATAAATTCAATATTGGATCTTTCTATCATGCCACCCCATGCAAGGTAGTAAATCCACTAAGGCACAAAGGATTACTCAGTGTGAAAGAATAAGAAAAAAGAGAAACATTATTAAGAAGAGAGAACAATAGTTGTGTAATCAATAAAACAGTAGATAACCATTAACATTGCATTTAAATATTTGAAGATCAAATATGGCTGGAAAGCATGCAACCGGAAGAGAGTTCCACAAGCAAGAAATATGTTAGCATAGAACTTACGGTTGCAATTAGTCAAATCATCTGGGATGACCTTATCGAATTTTGTTATTTTTATATATATTTTTTCACGAACGAACCGGATATGACATCGAACATTAGTGGGTTAACTTTGTTATATATAAGGGTAGATTAATTCATTCAATTTATATGGCTTTTTTTTCACCGTCTTCTTTCACTGTCTGCATATATTTTATTTTGTTTTATCTAGATTAACTTGAAAGGCCCTGCCTATAATTACATAGACTTACAAATTTCCTTTTTACTATTTCCACACCATTAATTCTACTCATATTCATTAGATACGAGCTGTGGACTTAAGAGCTCTGGCAACTTATCTTTCACTCTGTATATCTCAATTTATCTGTGAAAATATAAATCAAGTGTCATATATGTTTATAAGCGCCATAAAGCTTTGACACTGCATATTTCATCGTTTTCAACCATGCGTAAATTTGCATAAAAAACAGGAAGCTTTTATGGTTAAGGTTTTGTTATAATCATCCAGACATATAAACTAAACTAGTTTTATGTAATTAGGACATTCATCTTATTATTTATTCTAGATGATCATTTTATAATACTAGAATAAGATTAGAATCTATATATATGCATGTATGTATATGTATAAGCATACATATACACACACACACACACACATATATATATACATATATACATATTTATATCTATATATATATATATATATACACACACACATATATATATATATATATATATATGTGTGTGTGTGTGTGTGTGTGTGTGTGTGTGTGTGTGTGTGTGTGTGTGTGTGTGTGTGTTATTATTAAACACCCTACATTTGCCTACCCAATTTAGACAATTCGCCCTAGCTGTTACCATGGGGATTTTGATTTCAATTTTTAAAACAAGTAAATTTCAGATATTCGTTATTCCAACTAAAATTTCGCTTGAAGATGGAACGGAGCCCATTTTAATTTTAACTCAATTTAATTTAAAGGATTATATTGAAGTTTTCGGCTCTTGTTTTGAAACATGAGACCTCTTATGTAGCGATTTGGAATCATATTTTTAAATAAATAATTATATATATATATATATATATATATATATATAGTTATACAAAAATCAGTTAATCCCTAAGATAATATTTAAAATTATGATCTCTTTTCCCAGATATCCAACAAATATTAATTAGAATATATATTAATTAAGAAAAACCTTTTAGTAAATGAATTACAACCACTTTTATCGATTTTAAGTTAGCGATTAAATTATATATATATATATATATATATATATATATATATTGCAAAGAACAACAAACCTTCCTGAAGCGCTAAATCATCGTATGGCTGTAAACTTATAATGATGTACAAGGTGACAAAAAGCTATCAAAACGATTTAGAGTGCACTTCTCCACCGCGCGTAGAATTATTTATAAATAAATGGCGTCAACACAATGGAGAAGTGGCCGCCTGCGAAAAATAACTACAAGTGCAAGTAGACATCTGGTTTGGGAAGCCCAAGCAAATGCTGCTGTGATCTTTGCGGTTATCCAATGCTCAGTGGCCAATGTCGGAATCACTGTGCGTACATCTACAGCGTGACGAAATTTGAACAATGCCAATCTTCATGGCAGAATGCCAAGAAACAAACACTGCTTGCAAAATAGCACAAGCATGCAAGTCTCAAAGCTCGTGTTAATAAGCTAGAAACATTTTGGCAGAAGGTTTTATGGTCGGATGAAACAAAGATAGAACATTTTTGGATGAAAATATGTGGTATATATGGCAAGCACTGAATACAACTTTTGAAGTAAAGAATACCAACTATTAAACATGGCGGTGACAGCATTATGACGTGCTGCAACTGAAACAGGCAAAATCGTACACCTCGACGGCACAATGGACACTGTAAGATACCAAGACATTTTCAAAGAAAGTATCTTGTCTCAGTTCAAAAGTTGGGTTGAGGTCAGGGCTGTAACCTCCAAGAGAACATTGATCTATAGCATCAAAACAAATCTACAAAAGTATGGCTTCGTTAAAAGTAATTTCAAATCTTGGAAGAGCCTAGTCAAAATTCTGATGTAAATCCAACTAAAAATCTGTCATTCAAGTAAAAAAAAATAGAATTGACCAATAGTGGGACTTCTGCCAAGATGAATGGTCCAAAATCGGCAAAAAAATTATAGAAAAAAACTAGGGGGAATTGTAACCTCAAAAAGTGCAGTCACTAAATGTAAGGGCTCGCTTAATTTTGTAGATCTTAATTTTTAATTAACATTTTTATTCCAGCTTGATAATTTTTTTTGAAAATGGTTGTAATTGACTTAATAAAGATTTTTCTTAAGGACTATATAGTTTAATTGTGATTTGTTGATTATCTGGAAGAATATTTTATAAATATTATCTTAGGGGATCACTTACTTTTGCCAAGTACTATATATATATATATATATATATATATATATATATATATATATATATATATATTATTTTTAGATGCTTTTTCTAACTTTAAATTGTCTTTTCTTTAAATATCCCACCATTTAATAATATAATCCACTAGCAGAAACTTATAATCATTTAAATACAACTAAAGGCTTTGGCCATGAATAAACTACCACTCCGGCCGATCTCCTTGTTATTCTGAGTCAGTCACTCTAGGGCTGAGGAGGACTGGCATATAGTTGTGCTGGTCTGAAATATACTATAACCACATGAGGTGATTTGGGATATTTTGCTTTATAAAATATATGCTCTGTTATAATAAATACATCTGTGGATCAGTTTTAATATTTGATCTTACTAGGATCTCCTTGGATTATATACCAACGAATCTATTACTTTTAATATATATATATATATATATATATATATATATATATATATATATATATTAGGTTTTACTTTCAGCTAAAAGAAAATAACATCTACATACATGCCTTGTAATAGCTACTTGTTATATTGATGGGGTCAAAATTATTGTCGGAGTTCGTTTCCTTTGAATTTCAAGCTCTAAAAATATTTTTTTTCTCTTCAGTAGTACTTCTGTTTTAATGCTTATATCATTTTCTATATGAACAGCCTTAGCACATGTTTACACACTTCCCAAAGGGTCATTCTTCTTACCTGGTCATGTCTATTTTATTATTCTCTCTTCTGTAATTAGTTACCTTCATATTACGATTTATTTTCATGCCACAAATTTCTCGTGGTCGTCGTAGCGGAACAAGTAACGACAAGTCTCGTCGCATTTCCAATAATTTTCTCTATTCTCCTCGCCTTCAGTAATACTATCCTAAAGGAACAACCTTTTCCACAGATCTCAAATTCGTCTAAACATATTAAGAAAATTTAAACAGCTCTCAGTACTGTAATGACTAGGGTTTGGGATTGTTCCCATGATATTATTTTTTTTTTTTTTTCTTTATGATTATATTGCATACATTTCTATGAAGGTTTACGTATTTTATTTTCATATCTTCGTTAAGTTTCGCCTGGTATTCTCATAAAGTTCACAATATTTATTAGCGATTATCTTATTTTTCGCTACAAATTACGCAGTGCTCATTTAGATTAACCCTAGAACACTAACCATGTGTACCTAGCGCAAGTTTTCCTATTTTTAATTACAATTTTCAGTACCTGATTTCCTTGCCTAAATAATACGTTCTTCAGTTCCTATTTACGTTAAATCAAAATACAAATTTTGAAGTGCCTGCATGTGAAATATTTCAAATAAAGATTTATATTTAATATCTTTTTTTGATATTTGCAAAATCGGATATGATATACCCATGGTTAGTAGTGGTGTAACTTTAATAGATGGTTAATGTTCTAGGGTTAACCATACAACTTAGAATGAGTACTGCTTATGTAAATGTAACAACAGATTTGTTGGCAATAATAAAATGTTCTTTTTCATTCATTTCGCCTCAAGCAAGTAACGAAAGACATTTAGACGTAAGGGGATACTGAGAAAGAATATGAGAAAACAAAAAACCTTATTAAGGAGTGAGAATAAAATAAAACAGGAATTAAGAAGACAGAAGATAACAATTGACATTACATTTAATATTTTAAGATCAATATTGAATGTAAAGTATAAGCTCGATGAAAGTTCAACAAGCTAGAAGTGCGGTAGAAGAAACTGTTAGCATAGAACTTACGGTTTCATTTAGGAATTTCAACAGTAAAATAATGAGAGCGAGCTGCCAATCTATTACCGCGCTGTAATTAGTAGAAAAGGGTAAAACTTTTCAGAACGATTACCATGGAAATATTTATAGCAAAAGAACAGGGAAACAAGATTAAGGCGGTGAGTAAGTGACTGAAGCCGAGATGCCAGGTCAGGACCGATAAAAATACAGATTCTTCTTTGGATTTTATCAAGAAATTCTAAATGCAATAGCGGAAGCACCATTGACAACAATATTCAATGCAGGGACGAAGGCTAGACTTATAAATATACACAGGTAGATTTTAGCGAGAGAAATTATCCAACAGGGGAAAATTAACCAATATTCCTAATAAAATTCATTATTTTTCAACAATCGAGTCTCTTCGCTTCGTTAAGATACCATATTAATATCAAACGGTCTCATTATTGGCATTACTTATTTTGTGATGTCAACGGACACTTGTTGCCACTTTTGTGAGATCAACGAATAATGGTCGTCACTCTCGTAATACTCGTTGTAGTAGTGACTTTGTAATCGCAGATACAACTATAGTACGCCATTGAACAATACTAATGTCAGACGCGTTCGAATAGCACTCGCACTAATAGTACTTGCTCGATAATATTCGCTCGAACAGTAATCCGTATAGTGATGGGAAAAATAGAAATACTATAGTGAATAGAGTAGAGAATAGCTGTAAGTATTGTAACATAGAATAGAGTTGAAATAGCGATCCGTATACTAATAGAACAGAAATAACGATCGTTAGTCTTCAGCTACTCCTCACACATATGCGTTTCCTCTATGTTCACGTGGTCTACTTAATTTAATAATGGAATCTATGTTCAAACTCAACATTTGTAGCGACATTTTATTCCTATATAAAAATTTACTAGTCCACTATTTTTCCTATCTTTGTTGTTTTTATCAAAACGTTTTGGAAGCCGTCGATGCTTGTGTTAGAACGACGTCAAATCATATATATATATATATATATATATATATATATATATATATATATATATAACCGAGGGTTAGGACGCCTTTCCATTTTTCAACTACTGATTACCCCGGATTATGTGCTTTCTCTGCCTGCCTGCCTGCCTGCCTGTCTGTGTCTGTCTTTCTGTGATTCTCTCTCTCTCTCTGTCTCTCTGTCTCTCTCTCTCTCTCTCTCTCACACACACACACACACACACAAAATGTAACTGCGACCAGCTCTGCATACTACGCTGGCCCTGTAGGCGTCACCCTTGCAACGTGGGCTTACCTAGTCACACTAGCAGACATTCAAACTATATTTACTCTATTACTGCCATCTCGGGGCTGGAGCTGTTTATTCATCACATAAGTCTTGATGGATTTCATAAGTTTCTTCGCGTCCCTGTAGGTGATTAATTATTTTCCACCTTACAACTTCACAGACGAAACGTCACATGCCTCTCTATTGATAATTACATGACAGCTGTTCTGTCGGACAACATTACTCAGTCGCAAGAACGCGGACCTTTACAAATGGGACCCGCCATGCTACGTACACACGTGTGAATCATCCACATTTCCTTCGTATTCCAATAGTAAGTCCCATTTGGACAGCTTCTTCCCAAGAACTGCTGCTTTGTGGAACCGACTCCCGGTGTTTTCCAATAAATTCAATCATGACCTTTTCATATTTAGGGTTAACTATTTTCTTTCCTGCATAGCCCACGTGAAATTAACTTCTGGCCTATTCTTACGATCATACCCCCCTACACAGTAACCTTATACCTAGAGGGGTTATTGCTCCTTATATATCTATATTCTGTTACTAACACCTTCAAACTCTATTTTGTTAGGTATTTGTATATTTATATTCCTTTTGATGCTAGAGGCATGTTGAATATGGTAAATTTTCTTTCACCTGTTGATGTATTGAACATCCATAATTGGTTTGGTAAAATGTTTCCTGAAATAAAAGAAAAGAATCATGGTTAGTAAATGAAATGGTAAGTCAGGAAATTGTTTGTGAAAATATATAATTTGCAAGAATGGAAAAAAAAAATAGGCAAATTCATTCCTTGCATAAAAATGCACTTTTCATATATATATATATATATATATATATATATATATATATATATATAGTCAACAACAGACTGTTTCACAATTACTCAGTTTGGCTAGACGTCCGATTGCTTCAAGCCGGGATCGAAACCCGACAGACATCTTACCTCTAGGCCAACGTCACATGCCAGTAATGCTGGGAATTATATATTTATATGTGTATATGCATTTGAGTGTGTATGAAAATAAATATATCTTTATTTATCTGTTAAAAATGAAAACAAAAAGATTAGCTCAACATCTTTTATTTAAAATAAAAGCATGAATAATTTATAGAATTAAAATAATAAATACTAATTACTAAAAAAACAAATACAGACTTATAACCAAATTGTGCAAAATTAACATTCTACATAAAAATATGTGGAACGATCAGTTCCATGTATTTTCTTTTATAGTGATTGTTTATGACTTTGCAAAACTTTATGGGTAATCTAAAGCCGAAACATATCTTAGATTGTGAAAGTAATTTTTTTTCGCCAGTGAATGTTGCATTAACAAATTTATAGTGATAACAATGAATTGTATCGATAAATATTTTACTGTTTAACCCTTATATGGGGAAACGTGATGGATTGACACCTTTCCAAGAAATATTTGCACGCGAGGGAATATAACTAAGCGACCGGAATTCGAACCCTGCTCTTCGAAAAGCTGCACATTACACCACCTGCACATCTTTGTTACAGTGAATTCAGACGTCATGTAAATCTTAGTCAATAAATTTTTAACTAATTAACAACTGATCAGCGAGGTCTACCCTCAACGAGTGCCCCTTACATCTGGCCCTGTGCGAAACGATCAGCTTAGTTTATTGTCTGTTTTATTATTTTATATCTATATTAGTCCATTAGTGGTAACCTTCGCATTATTTGTGACTGAAGCCATTAATTGCTTCAAGTTAAAAAAATCTTTAATCACTATCGGATTGTAGATCCACAATTAATAGTGGGTATATTATAAGTCTCTAATTAATACGGAATTTTTATTTTTATAATTAATTAAAATTACCTAACGTTGATTAAAGATTTAAAATTCCGGCTGAAGCAGTTGCGTTCACAATCGGAATGATTCCATTGGAAATGTTATTCGTCCAAATCTTCCTTCCCCAGGTCGTGCCGAAATAACCAGACGAACTAGATCTCTAACTTTGCTTAGAAATTCCCCTCTGGAATTACAAAACTGGCTGCATGGGGTTAGTAAGTTGACTATTTTAAACCCACTTCACTCTGAAACCATCTCAAGACCGCCTGGCGTGATTTAGCTACGACCCTATTAGGAGTGTACGGTTTCTGTTGGAACTATAGAAAAACATTATTATCATTTATAATACATTTGTCTCTTTGCTTTTCCGTGTTTTTCTTTTATCTAATGTTGCTTTCAGAAAATATACATTAGGCATTTTATGCAAATATTGTTCATAAGGTTTTAGGAACTGTCCATAATCTTCAGATACTGGTCTCACCATTTTGTGAAACCAAGTTATTCTCGATAGAAATGAGTAAACAAAATTTTAATCATATTTTCGATATTATTATATTTAAGCACCATGGGACATAAAACACAAGACATAACGCGATATACATCTCTTGCCATAATAATTGTGCAGGTTGCCATGTAGATTAAGAGCGGTAGATTTTACTCAGTCCATTTTCCATTAACTAAGCTACTGAAATTTACAAATGATACACGAAAAAGAAGTTGTAGATAAGTAGAAATCATCCGGAATTATTTAATTATGAAAGATTTAATCACTTCGCTATAGATATATTGATTCCCTTATTTTATACATTTCGTATTCTCTCTCTCTCTCTCTCTCTCTCTCACACACACACACACACATATATATATATATATATATATATGTGTGTGTGTGTGTGTGTGTGTGTGTGTGTGTGTGTGTGTGTGTGTGTGTGTTTAATTTAGTGTTGGACAGTGCTTTTTTATTGGATTAGTATCTGTAGAATCTGACGACCATTCCATTAATGTGATGTTTTTAAAGATGCTTCGGCAATGTTGGAAGCATTCACGATTTTTTTAAGAACGTGTCGATTAATGGGCGTATAATTAACATTATTATGCTAGCCTCAACATCAATGCAGATACATAAGTTGTTGGACAAGTCATTTTTGTATTTTACACACCGCAGGCATGAACCGTTAAGTTAATGAGTAGCTTAAAATACTTTCCTGTGATCTGCAATTCACAAACAGCATATTTTTCTTACATTCTTAAAAACGATCCATTCAGCCATACTTATCTTATTAAGGTTTCCATTTATTTTTCTGTTATATCTGTTCAACATTTTCTACAGTTTTGTTCTCATCCCTCATTAATTTTATATGTTTCTCCTTTTTATATATTTTACCCTACCTAGAACACATATATATGAGGTCTGATAAACAACGTATTGGATTGTTACTGTCGAAACACAAGTAAAATACGCATAGCGAAGCCGCTTGACACAGTCTGATGTTGAACTCTGTCGTGCATACACTCTGACTTATATGTGTGAAAACAATATAACTCAGCGGGTATACACATATTTGTTGTTTACAATAGTTTCTTGGAAGGAAAGTGTGTAGAGTGGGGTAGTTTCACCATACCACAGACATTAGATTAGAGAACATGGTTTGTGCAACAGTTTGGGGCCAAGGACAACATCCCCTAGGTCCGACAAGCACCATATTTCCCAGATCTTTCCACTTGCGACTTTTTCCATATTGATAATCAAATCCCACTTGAAAGGTCCAAGATTTCAAGACATCGAGGCAGTTCAAAAGAATGCGACGATGCAGCTGATCATTAGACCAAAAAAGTGTTCCGGGGATGCTTCCATCAATGCCGAAAGACGTTTGTGGCTTCGAAAAGGAACTACTTAGAAGAAGATTAAATGCTAAATTATTATAGTACCAATCCCGAGACTTTTTTGATCAGATCCCGTGTATTCGTGTATTTTAAATGATTTCTTGATATTCATTTCACTGTTTTAGAACATAAAACAAATATGGCCAACTCAAACGCGTATGCTGTTTATAGTAATAAGAAATAATGTTGGGCGAAAATCCATTAAATAATGAATTAATTTATGTTATAATTCTTCCTTTTGTCTTTATTCATATATATATATATATATATATATATATATATATATATATATATATATTACCACTTGTGGTCGTTTGCGTGCTTGTGTTTTTGCGTAATCACTCAGTTAAATCCCATACGTGAAACACGTTTGTGCGATCATGTGTCTTTCGATTCATGTCTGACGAGGCAAAACATTTTCCCGCAGTAGGTTACCATTTCTTTCCGTGTTAGACTGGTTGCCAACCAATGCTATAGGACCCGATATTTCCTACTACTCAACCCACAGACGAGGGAAGAAGAGATGGACTCATGTGTTTCCCAAGGGTATTGTGGCGTAAGTGAATGAAACGATCTTGACTACAATTCGAACACGGCTCTCCAATTTCTAATTCCGATATCCATTACACCACAAGATGCATCCCATATGCTTGGTACAATGTACATAAAGATACACTTTTATGGACATAATCAGAAACACGCATTTATGCACACACAAAAGAGCACACATTCATATATAAATATATATATACATATATATATATTTAAAGATATTTTTGTAGGTACAAAATTTAATGATCGAAATAAAAGTGTAAAATTTAATATTACAAGACATATTAAAACAATATTAAATAATAATAAAAAAAAACAATCAACAACAAGGAGGGGTGGGAAGCAACCGGTTTTGCTCCCGCTCATCAGGCTTCCACGGGAGATTCAAAATTAAAACAGAGAACGATACAATCAGAATAGGTGGAAAAAAATACATATATGTACATACATATACCTGTATATATGCAAGAAGGAACTAGAGGCAGATGACAGCGAGTCCCAGCAAACACTCACGTTGTTTGCACAAAGAAGGCTTGCGGGACCCGATGTAAAGCGCCTCCAGAACCTTAAGATAAATATGATGAAATACGGATATATATATATATATATATATATATATATATATATATATATATATATATATATATATACACACAAAATAACATCCGCATTGACACACGCACATACACATAGCCTTTCGCAGACACACGCATATGTACAGACACACGTGCCTATGTTCTCACACGCGCATCTGAAAAAGCGTCTAGCATGCAAATTTAATTCATCGTTTTATTTTTATTTTTGTGTTTTCTGCCCCACCATACCTTTTCTGTGTTTAGCGCAAATCGAAATGACTCATTAGCAAATGGTAATGTTCTCTTGTCAGCCGCCCTCGTCACATGTTAACAGTCACGTGAGGAACGTGATGATTAATTATTCGAAATCTGAAAATACATCTCTTTTGTTCTTTTTTTTTTTAATTTGCTGACTTCTTTTAAAGTCCTATTTTCCGACTTTCCATTTCACTTTCTAATCTTTCTCTGATTGATAGAATCCTATCTGTAGCTAAGGCGTTATTTGCCCTATCTAAAGTAATGTGCTGGGGACGCCCATGAATCCCAAATTAGTACAAATACATACATAATAAAATAACGTCATCATCATCATCGTCGTCATCATCATCATCTGTCTCATGACTAGGTGTGGTCTTAATATTAATGTACAGTTGAGCACTTGACCAGATCCTTACCCATATTTGGGTTGAAAGGCTTTCGGGTATGTATAGCGTTACTTGGACAAGTAGGCATGACATACCTTATTCCAGTTCAGGTCGAACCACAGCCGATGGCCCCCTACTTGAAGTCTCGTATTGTTCAAGGACACGTGGCAGTTGATTCTATTGAACCAATCCTCCGCTTTGGCCGTTGACTTCAATTTATGAAAACCCTCCGCCCACCGATCCATTGTCATCCCTAGACTGGCTGCCTATAGAGCTATGGAGCCCACTTTACTTAATGTGCTAGATGGCCGATGAACCTAGAAATTGCATCTGCCCTTTGACAGCTCCAGTTTTAAATACTCCCGAGTGGCTAACCATCCTCTACGCCAGAAAATAGCTTCTTACACTGATGTAAGCAGTGTTAATAGTGACATGGTAATTACAAAAATACCAACCAGCTAAGAGGAAGAACTGGGTTTTTCCCTTGGGAACAACTTCAAATAACGACTGAAAAAAACTATAACAACGGAAATAGAATTAAGAATGTATGGAGAGGTCAGGTTGCACATAAGAAATCATCTTTGGGCTTCATCGATGCTTACGATAAAACGTCGCGTCCCTCGGATTTAAACTAAATCGAATGCAAATAAATGGAATTAACGGGATTCTGCGAATGAACACTCTTTCTTTTCTCTCAGTTACATTTAGGATAGTTTCCTTGAAAAACTGAGTGAGATCCAGTTTGTATGCCAAGTCCTTATCATACTCAACTTTTGAGGGTAGATATTACTGAGAAGCCTGGCGGAAGTCACGACTTAATCGAAAGACAGCGCGGAGCAATTCCTAGCGGATGCAGAAATGTTAGGGGCTTGATTACCGTTTAGCAGAGGTAGACAACAACATGAATAAAGGAGCTAACTAAATAGTAAAATATTGATTGACTAAACTAGTAATATCATCTGACAATACTTTTATTTTTTATTTTTTGGACAAATACACATCGAAAAATTCTATCACCTTAACTGAAACACTGTTACTATCTTATTGTTAATTGTAACTAGTTTAAAAATAATTGCTTTCGAAAGTAGATATAGCATAATGATATATTATTTTATTTAAATTATTAGTTATTATCCATAAGTTTTCTTTGAATTCATTCTTGACTACCGAAATTATCAGCAGTGAATGTGTGTTTATCATTTATATTTGGTATTGAGCCAACTCTTTTATTCAATACATTTTCTTGTTCCCGGACTCTATGTCTGGTAAACGCTACTTAGTCCAAATTAGGTTTTGAGTAACCTTCGAATTCTTCGAAACAATCAGTTGTAGCGTTGGACCTCTCAAAGATTAGCGACGAAAAGTTTTGAGTTAATTTCTGTATCAATATAAGCAATATAATATTTCTCCCAGAATTATTAATTTATTTTCCAATTACGAGACTTTACCATTTCTTACCTTTAAACATTTCTGTATGGTAATTTCCGTTATTAACAGTTGTAGAATTTCTGTTTGAAATGTTTTCCTGTGTTGGGCAAAGCAAGACATACATTTTAAAGATTTCGCTGTCGATTGTCTGCCGATAAATAAATTAATAATTTGAATGCGTGTGTTTCCCATCAACTATCGCGATGGCCACCAAATAAACAATTTTCATTGTCGAATGAGATATAACTACCTACACATTTAACTCCCAAAAATGTAATAGTTTGTAATAGTCACACACACACACACACACACACACACACACATATATATATATATATATATATATATATATATATATATGAAAATTTCTCAGAGTTAACCTGTAGAAAAAACAATATTTATAAATATAAATGGCAATAGGAAAACTGTAGTAGTTGCTGACCTGTTTCGTCCAATGTGGACTTTCTCAAAGCAAAAAACGAAATGAATTTAATTAAACAAAGTAACTAATAATAATAAAAAACAGAATGTTCTTAGCAACTTGAAGAATGTAGAGAACGCTATTTTCATATTGTTAACTGAAAATAACGTCGGTTACTGTAACGTGTTACATTCTAGCTGTGTTGTGGGATTCAAACATTTTCTCTTGATTTTACGATATTGTTGTGTACGTTTGTTTGGGAGAGCAATAATTTTGTTAAGAAAGGTGAAATAGGGATACAGCCTGGGCGTAGATTAATATTTGGGTAATATCGTATGGCGGCACTCTCTAGAATTTTCCTTCTGATTGAGTTATTTTCTTTTTTTATGAGTGTAGCATTTTTAAAATCAAAGTTATGGTTGAATTTATTTCTATGTGCGCACACACACACACACACACACACACACACACACACACACACACACACACATATATATATATATATGACTGACGAGGCAGCGTTTTCCCGCAGATTGTTATTTCTTTCTGCGGTAGACCAGTTGCCATCCACGTGGTTTGTACTGCTGCTTACCATAGCTGGGGAGAGAAGGGGATTCATACCTTTCCCAAGGGTATTAGCACGTAAGCGAATGTAATGGATTCGACTGGAATTCGAACTCGGCACTCCGATTCCTCAGTCCGAGCCGCTATCCATTGTATGAATTGTTGATAGCTTTGATCACCAACATCTTGAAGGGACATGACACATAGAAGAAGAACTTATATACATTTAAATGCAACCGAAGGCAGCTTTTAACTTTGCGACATTACTATTTATAGAATTTATATTTTAATTATCTTAAAATAATAAAATAAAGGGGACGCCACTAGAATTTATCTAACCCCAATGACACTTAAAATTTAACATTAGCTATATTTGTATTTACAATACTTATTAGTTATCAAGCGTCTGTATGAAGTGTTAAATGGCAATTACATGCTTCGAATCTAGAATTCAGGATGGAACTCTAAATTCAAAAGAAACGAGAAAATAAATAATATTGGAATAAAAATAACGATCCCCTTCAAATAATCGTAGGTTTTATTCGGCAAAAATCATATCGCCAGGAAAGATTGAGAGCAAGAAATGCATATGTTATTTTAGTGATATAATTCCATCCAAAGCTGTAAAACCACTATGACACAAGGGGTTACTGTGTCTGAAAGAAATTATAAAAAGAGAAACATTATCAAGGAGCGAGAACAATACAAGAATAATCAAGAAAACAGTAGATAACTATTGACATTTCACTTATAGATTAAAGTTGGATCGAAAGCATGGAACGGAAAGAGAGGTCCACAAAACAAGAAACTGTTAGCATAGAACTTACTGTTAGATATAGTCATTTCAACCGTGAGTAGATGGGACCTTGCCGCCTATCGTGTACTGCGCTTAAATTCAACTGTATCTTTCTGATCGTTAATATAAGTGATATGTCCCGGAAAGGGATATATTTGATCGAAGTAGCTAATTGGATTTGGCTACTGTAAACAAGTAGTACACGGTAGCAGTAATCAACTGGTACTCGTCGTAGTCGAGTCGCAGGTAACAGGTGTAGACCAATAGGATATCCAATGGCGTAGTCCAATGGGCGTCGTCATAGACTTAAACTCTGTTGTACCTACACGTCCGTCTGTATTTATGAAGGACACCAGCCAATCATATTCCAGTGAGGGGGAACTCAGGTGTATGCCTATTCCATTATATCAATAAGCATCCTTTACGTTGTCATTTTCTCTAAAACGTCGTTTCTCATATGTTTAGTCCATTGTATTCTTAGCATTCATCTGTAGAACCATATTTCTGTTGTTTCAAGTCTCTTCACAATATGTGAGGAAACTGTCCAGCATTACCCGCCAGAGAGGACTGATACTACATAACAGTTCAGTAATCTTTTCTTTATCCCGACATTTTTCTCTTAATAATTTGCTTAGCTTTTGGAAGGCATCTCTCGCTATCCCACTTTGCCATTAGATTTCCATATTGCACTTTCCGTCCTTGTTACGCTTCCAGATATCTAAATTGTTGCATCTGTTTGATTTCGGCATCTCCAATCTGTAATTTGTATGTCGGGCTCTTTCTTTTGCTGACAACCATGGACTCAGTCTTCTTGTAATTGATGTTTAGTCCTTTCTTTACGCTTTACCTCACTGCCTTCTGTAAGAGTTCTTATAGTTTCCTTCCTCGGTCTGCTATCAACACTGTGTCGTCTGCATATATTATATTGTTAAGATTGTGATCGTCAATAATAAACCCTCAAAGCACTTCTAAGTCCTTCAAAATGGCCTCGATGTATAGGCTGAAAGGATCTGGCGAGAAGACATATCCTTTTATATACTATCAAAATCAAGCAGGTAGAGAAATTTAACTATATGAAATGTTTATAACAGTTGCAAAAACTCTGATACATGAATCCGATTGGTCATGTGAATACTGAGAATCATGAAAAAATAATAATGATAAAATTGAAATATAATAATAATAATTAGGAAAAAATAAGGATAATAATGAGAAAATAATAATGAGAAAATAATAATGATAATGAAGATAATAATGAGAAAATAATAATGATAATAATTAGAAAATAATAATGATGATAATGAGAAGATAATAATGATGATAATGATAAAATAATAATAATATAATAATAGATAATAGTGAGAAAATAGTGATGATGATAATGAGAAAATAATAATGATGATAATTATAATAATGATGATAATGATAATAATGAGAAAATAATAATGATAATAAAAGATCATAATGAGAAAATAATAATGATAATAATTAGAAAATAATAATGATAATAATGAGAAGATAATAATGATGATAATGATAATAATGATAAAATAATAATAATATAATAATTGATAATAGTGAGAAAATAGTGATGATGATAATGAGAAAATAATAATGATGATAATGATAATAATGATGATAATGATAATAATAAGAAAATAATGATAATAATGTGACAATAATAATGATAATAAGGAGAAAATAATGAGCAAATTTTAATGATAATAATGAGAAAAATATAATAATAATAATCAGAGATAAAAATAATTATAATGAGAAAATAATAATGATGTAATGAGAAAATAACGATGATAATAATGAAAAAATAATAATGTTAATAATGAATCGAAATATATAACACAAAATAAAATTAGCTAAACGCATATTGTTTTAAAATTATATCTTTGAATAAACTTGTCTATATTTATGAAATAGGGTATTGTAACTATTTACACTATTTACATCATTCGGGCTGTTAATCTCATCTTTATTGCTATATTCTCGACGTTGGTTGAAGTAATCCCAAAAGTGATTTGACTCAAAGAGTTAAGAATTCAATTCCTTGCCACAGCAGAAGGAAGAAAAACTTGGAGAGCCGTGTAACCAAAGAAAATTAACTGAAACTGCCATATCAAAAAAAAAAAAAAAAAAAAGCCACGTGGAAATATAACGATCTCTCCGTGGACTAAATAAAGGGTTCGGTTCTAAATTCCAAATTATATCACCTGAAAACGGTTGAAGTGTACACAGTGGTCCGAAAGTCTTGTCACCACTACAAAAAATTGTGTGTACAATAGAGCAATTAATATAGTAATACAAAGCACATGTACTGAATTCAGTTCATTCACTTTCATTGGTGCTGTCACACATCGATAGGGTTTGTATGAACATCATCATTTTCTTGGCACAAAATGATGCAGGGCTATGACCTATGAAATTGTGCTTTGTTGATTGTTGCAAAGGCTCTCCGATCGGCATCCTCCAACCGACGGGTATTCTGATATCGTTCATGTGAAACGATCTCCTTGATAATACACCACAGAACGTTGAAATAGAAAATTATATTATATAGGGATGACATAACTTTCGGGCTACCCTGTACAACAGCCAAAACGTCGTTAATATGGTAATAAAGATGAGGACAACAGTCGGAATGATGTAACTAGTGTAAATATTCAAATACATTGACATAAAATCAGATGAAAATCCAACATAAGAAACGTCTCGTTAGAAACAAAGAAAGGAGTGCTGAACCAATCCCCCTATATGCTAGAAAATGCTGGGCAATTAAAGATGAAGTAACTTGGGGCAACAGTGTTGTTGACGTGAAAGATGGATTTTGAGGATATTATAAATTCAACATATGAGTGCCGAGAAAATTTTATGAAAAGTGGAAACAAAAAAGTCATTTATGCTTAGAATCAGAAAGAGAAATCTGGAATTTTTTGGACACATTATAATTTATGGAGAATTTGACACTTGCAGGAGATATTGACGACAAGAGAAATAGCCATTTTAATTAACTTGCTGTTGTAGAATAGTTTTCACAGTGGAGGCTTGTATTTCAATAAGTCGTCCTAAATTAGGTTCGACGTACAAAACGTTAGGAACTTGAAATAAGAGTTAATGACGCAGCAATCTAGTTGTGATGGTTGATACTTCAATGCCCGACATCGACTAACTCGCTCAACACCACTGGGTATTTATCATTTCACCCACGGGAAACGAATATGGCACAAGGCCGGTTTTATTGTGGGTTTCCCCGAGCCCGTAGGCTCGGCCAAAAAAATAGCCTTTTGAAGCCGATTAGACGGGTTCATGCCCTGTCTACATCCCCGGACGAAACCTTACCCTTCGGCAAAGCCTCGTCTGGGTTCCTCTGCTAACACAGAGAGTTCGACAGGAGGCATGCGCAGTCAAAGACCGCAAGACGCCACTGGGTATTTATCTTCTCACCCACGGAAAAGAATATGGCACAAGGCCGGTTTTTATGTGGGTTTCCCCGAGCCCGTAGGCTCGGCCAAAAAAATAGCCTTTTGAAGCCGATTAGATGGGTTCAGGCCCTGTCTACCCCCCCGGACAAAACCTTGCCCTTCGGCAAAGCCTCGTCCGGGTTCCCTTCTGCTAACACAGAGAGTTCGACAGGAGGCGTGCGCAGTCAAAGACCGCAAGACGACACTGAGCCCAACTGGCGACCGCTACTAATACTTATTATCTGTGGGAGAGTCTATTACAATAGAATAGGTATTATGGTATAACACTTGCGTATATTGATCAAAGAACAGGGAGATAGTGAGTTAGTAAAGATAAAAATATTGCCTAATGCTATAAATGACAAGAAGTTGCGAAGGGCCATGGTCGCTTATGTGCTGAAGGGATAGGAAGCATAGAAGAATTTGTTTAATATTTACTTAGTGGCCTATATGTGTCACCTTGTGCCAAACTAGCTTAAATTTAATAAGCATATATACAAATTGTTTGTCATACTGGTATATAATATATTTGCCTCTTACTAACTTTTACTTTGCATTTCTCTTCTCCCCTCGAGCTTTTTCTCACATCTTCTTTATCTAACACCCTCTCTCTCTCTCTCTCTCTCTCTCTCTCTCTCTCTCGCCGTCTCTCCATCTCACTCTCTGTGTATCCGTCTTTAACCTCTCTTACTCGGTCACAGTTATCAGTCATTCCTTTAACACGTCTCCTAACCGCGCCTTCCCACTTTTTTTTTTTCATTGCCCCAAATGTCATTCACTCTCATTCGTGTCAGGTATTGTAGAACTCTATCGAAGCGATTCTTTATTTTAATCAACGACCCATCCATCAACGAACGTAAGGAATGTCTCCGTATTTTTTTTTCTTTCCGAGTCACTCATTTTTGTCAACAGAAATTTAAAATAAAAAAAAACAGAAATACAAAAATAAATAAATACTCCAATCAATGAATTTTTCCCTCCTTCCCAAGCCATTTTCTTCCGGAGTCTTTGACGTCATTTGAATATCTTTCTTCCCTTTTTCTACCCTCTCGCTCTCTGCCCGTTTCTCTCTCTCCCCCCCTCTCTCTCTCTCTCTCTCTCTCTCTCTCTCTCCTCTACATAAATGTATCTTCTCCAAACAAAACTCCCCATATGTTTTAATCTTTCAACTTTTCGTCTTTTTTCTCTCTCTATTTTGAGTAATCCTCTCATCTTTAAATTGTCTCGCTATCTCCTGAAATAAATCATGTAATATACTCATACACAAGGCACCATAATGGATTTACACCATTCTTTTTGGAAATGCTCTGCGACAAACAAAATCTTGCAGTTACGCACACATATCTTGTATTACAAATCTAATAGCAGCTTCTATATTCACACATTCATTTGTACAAATAAAACGTTCAAATAACTTGGCAAAATCTGTAAAATATAAACTTTAATACATGTACTGATATATACATTAATTCAAATGTAGATGCATCTGGATTTCAATTTAATCCCATATATATATATATATATATATATATATATATATATATATATATATATATATGGGGTGAAACGAGAGAGAGATTTAATTCAAATACAAAATTTGTCACTTAGCTCATTAATGGTATATTCAGCACCCCGAATTCAGAGTTTGATAGACGAACCTATTGTTAATATTTCAGTTTCCTGCTCAGGAGGTATCAGCAATTGTCTACCGAATCTCTCATTTTCCTTATTTTTATATTAAGTTAAAAGAAACAATCTATGCGCTTTTTTATTGGTTAGTTTGTTTTTCGTCTTCTTTGTGTGTGTGTGTGTATGTATGCGTGTGACTTTGTGCGTGTGTGTGGTATATATGCGTATCTGCATGTGTAATCTTGTGCCTGTGCACACGAGTACGTGCATGTATGTGCACATGTGTAGAATGGCGTGGTTATTTCTTTTATTATTTTCTTGTCTACTTATATTCTATCACTATTTCTCTCACTTTCCTATATATATATATATATATATATATATATATATTAATCAGTATCATCCCCAAGTAATTGAGTACAGCCGTAGATTAAATTATTGCAGATTAAAGTTGACTGGAAAACATGGAGCCGGGAGGGTGTTCCGCAAGCGAGAAGTGCGAGATAAGAAACAGCATAGAAGTTATAGTTACATCTACCTAGTTCAACTGTACATTGATGAGATATGGCCGCCAGTCTAATACTGAGCTTAAATACATAAAGTCTACGTACCACAGCGAAGAATTCCTCCGAACAATTACAATGAAAATATTTTTAAAAAAGGATGAAAGCGGCAACCTTACGTCATTGGACTAAAGCCGAGCCGTCAGATCAGGACTAATAATATTGCTGATTATACTTTAGATCGTATTAAGGAGATCCAGGAAAATCGCTGCATATATGGCAGCAATATTTTAAGCAAGGACGAATGGTAGACTTTTAGATATGTAAGATAGAACCCGGAAAGAAAAACTGTCTCGCAGTGAACCGAATTTTTTATCATCTGATATAGCAATGGATTCAATGTAGACTTTCCGCCTTATGTCAGCTAAAAACGTTAAACCGAGAAGGCGCAGTGAGTCACTATTTTTTTTTCTCACGGGACTTAAAACGTAATCTGCGACATTACTTAAATGTTCGTTTTGAAGTTATGAGCTCTAAGGGTTGTCTTATTCAAGCACCAGCCTTCCTTTACCATGCACGTATAGTGTAATGTATGCAAGATATTTAGTAAGTCAGCGTGTGGGCTTATCGTGATACCTATGCAGCAAGTGGTAAGTTTGTATAGAAGACCTGTGTTTTAATATGTAAATGTCTTCAGCGGCCGGGAAATCAACAAAAAATGCTGTTGAAGTGGTCCTAATCGGAATAGTGATGACTTTTCCACCGTATCTACCTTATATTTATGCATTAATCTGAGAGTCTTTGTTAATGCACAGTTTTATTAATGAATTTTTACAGTCCAGACAGACTTTCTTTTCCGAATAAAACTGGAAAATTTCGCGTAAGAATTTAACCGGAAACCAGAAGAATGTTCTGAACAGAGCAAAAATAAAATAAACACAGATTAAACAAAGTCTTTCACTGGTCATCAACTCGTCAACCAAACTCCACACATATGCATACAGGCATCCATAAACATACACACACACGTCTGTGCATGTGTGTGTCCGAGCGCGCGATGGACAATTCATATTGAAATATGGGTATACAGAAGGATGCTGAATATACAATGGACTGACCATGTAAGTATCTACAAAGTTCTAGAGACAATAGAAACAAAAAGAAAACTTATACATTACATCAGAAAGAGGTAGTTGACATTTCTCGAGGAAAGAAGCCTTGGAAAACTTGACACACACAGGATATATCAAAGGCAAAAAAATATAGAACAGCGTATAGCCTACCTAGTGAGCTTGTGCAAATGGACGGCAGAACAGTGTTTAGAAGAGTCAGCAAAAAGACAGAATTTACAAAGACCTTACAAAGGAGAGGAAATTGCGGAGAGCAATGATATCCCATACCCTGAATAAACATGACAGGCAGAAGAAGAAAAAGTTTATTTGGAATCATATGTGGGTGATATAAAGCTAGTGTATAAAAAGAGAGAAAAAATATTTACACGGTGATTTTTTTGTATGGTACACATAATTTTCGTAATGGTTAGATGTTCCAACAATATTCTTTAAAGCTAATGTGTTAATATATAATTTATTCACGGAACTATTAACATAATAGAAAAGTGTTACATTACAGTTTCTCAAATAAAAAAAAAAATGGATGATAAATACAGAAATTGTTGACTCAGCAAATGCAAGAAATCGAATATTTTTTCATTACCGTGCGACATTTCATACGCTGACGGTGAGTAAGAAGCGCATTTACCATTGTTGAGAAAATCATTATTTTTAACTTGTATGCCTATAAAACGTGGATCATGACAGAACTAAAATATATCGTATATATTTCTATGAAGTCAAATAAAAATGATCAAATATTTTTCTTTCAAAGTGATTTTTTCTCTTAAAGAAAAGATTCGTTATGCATGCAATTTTGAAAACATGAAAATAAACTCTTTTTATTAGAACTATAAATATCTAAAGAATGTAACGAGTGCAATGTTTATTTGTCACTATTCTTAACCTTACATAGTAGACAAGGATATGCACATACACACACACACACACACACACACACACACACACATATATATATATATATATATATATATATATATATATATATATATATATGCATGTTTCATTAAAAACGACCGAGAAGCAACTACGATTAAGCTTTTTCTTTTCTAGAAACTGTCCAAATATTCTATACATCCGAGAGCTTTCTGCACTACTTTTAGCCGTTATCAAGGATGATTTTGTAAAAATATAATTGGGTGTACGCGTTGTAATTTTATTAGTGTTATAGAGATGTTTTTATTTTCCAAACACAGTTAGCACATTGTGGCCGTGTTTATAGTTAATATTATTAAGTGTCGGCTTTTTCATTTTTATTAAGGCTTCCATTATTTTTAATCTTTTTTTTTTACATGTGGATGAAGTTATCATATTTGCATTTTCTACTAGTAAGTTTCGGCTGGAGTCTGGTAAGTTTATGGGTGTGTTTAAATTGGTTCTAAAAGACCTATGATCAGTTAGGTTTAACGTGAGGCGTCTGGATTAGCATGTAGTCTATAAGACTAAAAACATAGATAAAGGTGTAACGATTAATCTGATCGAGAGCAGATGAAGAAAACCCTCAATTATTATGCATAGTAAATATTTTATGCACAATGGAAAATACCGTTTCCTATGGTCAAATATATTTTAATTAATGTGGTTATTATTTGGATAATAATAGCAGCTTCTAGAATTTTGAGTATTTCCTTTCATTGTATACTGTATAGATTTAGCAATTATACAATTGTCTTCTTTTGATAATTGTATTTTTTGGGTTTCGTGATGTGTTGAACGATATGCATGATAGTACTGGAAATATTAACGCTTTCCTTACCAGAATTTCATAAAATGTTGACAAGTAACAAGACAACCTACAACAGAATATGATGCATACGCGGACGATGTAAGAATATATATATATATATATATATATATATATATATATATATATATATATATATATATATATTGACATTAGTGTGCATGGAAATCTTAATTCACAATATTTTTTAGATAGGATGATTTGTAGGTCCCAAATTCATAATAATAATACCGATTTACAATTTTTTTCTGAGGCAAAGATCTGAATACGTGATTTTTTTCGAATTCGGATGAGGTGGATTCACATTTCCGAACAGTATTGTTCTTTTACCTATAGATATTTTGCTTTTAGCTATCACATTTTTTTTATTATAATGCATATAAATTCAAAGTATAATGTGTTTATTTTATCTATTACAAAGGCATATTACAGAAAAAAAACAGTATATATACTTAACATTGGCGCAAATAAATTATTGTGCCACAAGTTCATGGCTTATACCATACATCGTAGATAACAAACAAAAGTGAGGGTTTTTTTGGATGATTTCGTGTACCTTTACATCATTTATGTTACGCAGAAGCATCCTGAATTGCGCCATCATGATGAGGTTCCAGTTGCCTTGGTTGTTTCATTCCATCTTAGTTCTTTATTTTCATCACCCATTGCTCTGAAGTTCGAAGAGAAGTTAGTGGGAAGGTGAAAGTGAATTTTAAGTAACATTCGGTACCAATGTCCTCATAAACTTCAAAAAACTTCTCAATACACGCTTGGTAATCTGGTATCCGTGGGCTATCAAGTAAGTCATGACAGTCTGAATTAAATGCTTCCCATGGTCTCTAATGTAAGAAGCTCTTCAAATAAGTTTTCCTTCAGTATTTCTCTGATCTGTGATCTGACGAAGATGACTTCTTTGAGCTTAGCAGAACAGATAGCTGGTTTTGGAAGTGAGCAACATTTTTGTCCAGGGCCTTGATGAAATTCTTCATTGGACAAAGCTTAATATGCACAAGAGGAAGAATCACCTTGTCCACCAGAGGATTTTCTTTGCATAGTGGGCATTCGAATTTGAAGAGGATTTCATTTAGCTGAAATGAAACTTAGCATGGTCGAAGGCGGAAATTACTTAAGTTTTTCTTAAAAATAACACACTTTCTAAAATCTCGAATTGGTAAAGAACAAACAGTTCTAAATAGGACACATTTGGCAGCCTTGAATGGATATACGTGTATACATTTACGTATATGTATACTTGTATCTATCAAATCCTAGATGTGATGAGTGAAAACAGATTTCGTATATGAAACCAGCACACCAAAATTATGTTACACCTTCTATTTTTATGCTTGCCTCAATTTCTTTGTAAACAACGGTAATTAATCTTAGAAGTTTTTAACTTTTTATAATCAATCATATTTCTAAAATGTTTTTTGGGGATTGGTAAATGATATGTACCGACGAATTGTATTCTTTTTGGCGATTTTACCCTGTTATAATAAGGGTGCATCTGTTTAATATAGTATAAGTTAATGATGTGTTATGTTTATTATATCATGGTGATGGCTTGTTTTTTTTTTCTAATTGTTTTTTTTTTCTAAATTTTTTTTTTTAAATTATGATCAGTGGAATTTATGAAGCCATTTCTGAACTTAGGTCTCCGGTTGGATCTCTGTAGGAAATGTGTATATAACCCTATGAAATTATAATAATAATATTAATTTGAGTAGTAGTAGTAGTTTTAGTAGTAGTAATTTAACTATGTGGCTCTGCAGGAAGATAAATTTGATACAAGGTCTGATTTTGCTGTAACCTACTCATATATGGAGGCAAAAGCAAAAGTGTTATTCAGATTTATTCCACAGATCTTTTTAGGCACATCTCAGATATCAACAAATTATCCCGAGATTTTCAAAAGGAGAGGGTTGACTAAGAGTTATGCCCCTTTAAACTGAGGATATCATATTTATTTTATCATATTTGAGGTTGTAGAAAAGCGCCAGGTATGTATTGTTGTTTCCTAAGCTTAGCTTAATTTGACATAAGGCTGCAAGTATGGGGCAATTCGTTCTCGCGACTAAAGGTCAACCAGGCTTTCTGGTTATGCAATATCCTATACTTCTTGTCCCTTCGAGTTTGAGGCGCAAAATTAATTAAGCCCAGTCCCTGGGGGCTCAGTTTCCCCAGACAATAACTAATATATGAAAGGATACGAGGGTTAATCACTATCGCCTAAGGCTTTCGCGAAAGGTGATGCGCCTTTGGTGCTGAACTACTTTTGGCCTCTGGTCGCATGTACGTGTCAGACAATCACTTTCATCACACCCCTCTGCCGTATTTCGAGCGATTGTGACTTCTGAAATATATCACCAATTTGAGTCGCTCTTGGCAGCAATTATTATTATTATTATTATTATTATTTAAAAACATCGTTATATTTGAAGCATTCTGAGATATAACAATAATAATAAATGAATTTTATCTGTTGATATTATTTATTAATTAGTAGCAATTATTAGTAAATTATTAAGAACCCTTCATTCTCAAACGTTCACATATATTTTGGTCACGAGTGAACTCTCTCTCTCTCTCTCTCTCCCCCCTCTCTCTATATATATCTCTCTCTCTGTCTGTCTCACTCACTCACTCTCAAGTATCGAAAAAAAATGTGCCATCTCCACCTCCACTGAAAACCAACCCTTTATTCTTCCGCCATGTTTTATTTCGCAGGAAACAAAAGCCACATTGGCATTTCAAGAAATCTGAATATTTCGATTCTTTTAAGGAGACAACATTTTTCAAAAAAGTATATATATATATATATATATATATATATATATATATATATATATATATATATATACATTTAGAAAATAAATAACAAAAATCTAATGAAAATAATCAAGAAATGAAATATTTCGTTAATAATGAAATCGAATCAGAAGGAGAAAGTGAAGAATCCTGGAGAAAAATAGTGGTGGTGGTGGTGGGGAGAGAATGTGGTATTAAGAGCAAGATTTCTCCTTGACGCACAGCCGCCACTTCTTCAAAACGTATTAGTTGAATTATGTTTACGCCGGTTCTACCAATTTTTTTAATAACCTCTTGCTTCTCTTTTCTTATTTTTTGAAATATCTTCTTTTTTTTTATTTCATCTCCTCTTGTTTCCTTCCCATCCTCCTCTTCCTCTTCCTTTCCTTGTGCGCATGTTTTTGTCCTCTACAATTTTTCACATCTTGCCCCATCCATCTTCCCATCATGTTGGTCGGAAATTGAAGTCTGTTCTTTTTGTTAGTAACTAATACCCAGAAAGCTTTAGTTTTCCCTTCCATTTTGACATTATATTAAATTAGTTTCTTTTCTCTCTTTCTTTTAATCTAAACACTCTCTTCTCTCTCTCTCTCTCTCTCTCTCTCTCACAGTTTTTTTTCTCCATCTTATTGAACTTATACGTTTTATACCAGTCACCATACTCTCTCTCATTTTTTTTTTTATCTATTTTTAAGTCCATACGACATTTTTTTCTTTTTAAAGTCTTCTTCAATGTGCCGTGACCCTTCAGGACGTTAGCGATCATGGCTCTCTACAATTTACTGTCCTATTTAACGCTTAATAAGTTTTATCTTTTGCATGTCACTCCCAAAACCTGCTCCAGGATCAGTTCACTCAAGCTCATTAGTTTTTTTGAATATACGCTCTTTTAGCGCTAGAGGGCGTCGTCAGTGATGTTCTGATCATTGGGCAGTTTCGGGTCTTTCAAACATCATACTGACCTCACCAAATCGACCCCCCGCCTCAGAGCTGATCAGACTCTGAAACACCCTCTACAAAATGCTTGTAGACACTGACTTCTATAAATATACCCCGTCATCACACATTTTCTATAAATATACCCCGTCATCACACATTTGATTGGAGATTGACCAACAGCCAATCACAACGGTGCGAACTTTATTTAAACTGTTTACGGGTATTTTTTTTTTTTATCATTTTTTTTTTTGAGTGGGCACCCCTTCATCGGATACTTAGAAGGTAATTATGTTTTCCGTTTTCACCCATTTCCCATCAAGCTCCATTTCACCAGCCAATAACTACCATTTACAGAGATAAGAAAATATCTCTGTTAGGTTTAGCGTTGCTTTCCTCTGTCTCACTTACCGTCAATCTGTCCCGTTAGTATCAAATTTTCCAAAACTCCTTTCCTCAATCTGTGCTCCAAAAGTTTCAACTGTCTCTTCCCGATGTTATGCATAAGTTTCATTTTTTTTTGTTTTCGTTGTCTCTAGAACATCGTCTTTTTCGGAACATGGCATTCTCAGCATCGTTCTGTAGAACCAAATTTCTGTTACCTCAAGTCTCTTGTTCATCAGTGAGGAGATTACTAATTATTCATTACCATATAGGAGGACTGATATTATATAGCATTTCAGTAATATTTTACTGTCAAGCGTTTATATCTACCGAGGAGTTACGTATAACACAAAAAACTCTTTCGATAAAACGATATAGAATGTGATAATAAGAGAAAACTTTACGAGATATTTATTCCATAAAATAGGAATCAAAATAATAGAGCCCGAATATGTGAAATGATTCTTATTTTGTTAACAGCAGTATGTTTTCCAAAACAAAGAAAAATACTGATATGATGGAAGTAGGAGATCTCATGACTTTGAAACGACTGATAGGTGTAGAGGAAAAGAAGGGAGAGACAAAGAGCTTCTGTTTTAAAAAAAAGAAAGCACCCGTCAGCTGCTGCTATTATTATTTATCCCCTGTATCGCCAATCGCCTGTGCTTTGGCGTAAAGCCACTACATGATTATACTTATTTTGTGACGTACGGCTCTCACGTGCTACAGTTTACAAGCCCATGACGCGCTTGTGTTTTCAGAATATATCTTCCACAGATATAGAAAGACACTATCTCCGGCTTGTAGTCTTCATTTTGAGAAAAACTCAAGTTTCGCCATATTCCCATTTGAGTAATATGTCCTCAATAGTGACATAGCAAATATATCTGACTCGCTGGAATTTGCAATCCTAAATATGGCTTCTCCAGAAACACTGAAGAATCTCCATATAAGCAAGACCCTATCTTTTCGCTTTCATTTCATTCTGCTTGTTTTGTAGACATGTGTTATATTTTCTCTGAGTGGGAAAAATGTAAATAAATGTATATAATTGTGCGTGTAACTTAGCAATATTAAACCTCTCTCTGGGAACAAAGATTTGGAGAATTTAAATGATCACTTTTATGAGTCAGTGGACGCTCAGATACAGAAAATATGGCCTGAATCGTAAAACAAAATACACTAAAACTAAGACATTATTTCATTAGAAATACTTTTATATTTAAGATATATTGTTTCTTAAGAGAAACGTTTTTTCGATGAATAATGAATTTTTACAAGAATTGTCTTCATTTAAAAAATTACATTCATATAATTCATAAAATAATCTTCATAAAGTAAATCTTCTAAAATTCTGTATTACATCGTTATTAGTTGATATTGTTATTAAGAAGAAATTATATTTACTAATCATAATTCAAAACAACTTGCTACAATTCAGCGATAATAGTATTTGAAAAAGAATTTAGAATTTTTTGTGTGTCTACAAACGTGCCGATTTTTGTAAATACGGACGTCGATTCTTTAGTTCGACCGGTCCAGACCTCGCCAGCTGGGACACGACACATTTTTTGAATCGAAATCATTCACGCCCCCACCCCACCAGTATTTCAAATCTAAAAAGAATGTTCCTTTCAGACAGCTTTATTTCTCTCTTACTTCTTTGAGAAGTAAATCTGCGTGGGGATAAAATTGTGATGTAATTTTGTGGTTCCATGAACTTTACCATCTCAACTTCTTCAAGTCAGTGGTCAGTCTCTTTCATTAAATAGCACAAAGAAAACACTACCACCAACACCAGAACCATCATCATCATCATCAACATCATCATCATCATTATCAGGAGGTAAAATAGAAACGCTGTTTTTTTTTTGTTTTTTTTTATTAAAATACTCCTTCGGGTTGGAAAGAAATGTTCAGGACCCACATCTTAATGCCTGTGCTTGTATATACGCAGAGCAAAGTCTAGGAATAAGCTAAACAAATTGTGGCTGTCTCTGCCTCCTTATAGTATTCTTAATGAAGATTAATGAAGAATAAACTTGCAATTATAGAAATGGCGTGAAGCATATTTTGATAAACAAAATCTAATTTTCAAATCAGACATTTTGCGACAAAAGTAAATTGGTATCCATGAAGCTTTTCGAGATTAAAAAAAAACATGAAAGCACTCACGGAAATAAACACACACACACACACACACACACACACACACACACACACACACACACACACACACGTGTGTGTGTATGTAAGAATTTCAGGTAGATTATATATGTAAAAGAATATTAGGAATAAAGACAAAAGGAAAACTAAACTCATCCATTTTTGCCTTGATAAAGTCCAACAGAAGACAAATCTCTAAAGCTTTTTGTTTTCATCCATATATATATATATATATATATATATATATATATATATATATATATATATGGATTCTCCTGTCGATTTCGACGTATGACGTTCCGACGACCACGAACTAATTACCTGCCCTGCGTGCCAATGACCGGCATGACTTTTAAGACCGGCTCGAGAATTGCACAAAAGACCACAAACACTACAAGAGAATGTATTGTATCCAAGTGCAGTAGGAACACTATTAGATGTCTTATTTTTACTTTCTCTTTTCATGGAGTCGGCTGATGGTTACTTCTCAGTGCAGCTATATCAATGTTGTACTTCTTTAGTTCAAATGCGACCAGTAGTGTTCTTTTTTCTGGTGCTTAGTTGTTCCAAGTGCCAAGATGAAGTGGCAGTTGCCGGATATGTGTGGAACTAATTAGATGTAGTTGTCAGAAAACCAACATAATGATTTATACTGCCAAATTTCAAGTTCACGTTATCTTGAGAAAACTTGAACGCGTTCAAGTCATCTGAAGATCGCGTGAGCGTGAAACTCGCTTTACGCCAGGGGCCGTCCTTTTATAGGATTTACTGTTGTTAAGCGTTTTTTGCTCTGTATAAGCATTCTATGATTCGAACTCTTTACTGGGTAGGGAGCTTTTCTTTTAGGCCTCTATTTCTTTATTTTTTTTTCAGTATTGCTGCAAGGTAAAAGTTGTAGGTTATATATATATATATATATATGATTAATTTTTACCAGCAAACTATGTACATTAAAAACAGGATTATGTTGAATAAAGATACACTCCTATTCATCATACCCATTTTAATTTTAAGTCTCTAAATTGTGTGGCGTTCATCCCTTGGAGTAATTGAACTCTAGTATAAAAAGCTCAAATCAGTGTTGGTGTCATGTCAGCCAATACAGTTCCATGTTATTTGGAAAGACTATCTACAACGCCAAGAAATTTCCGTCGCTCTGTGAAATGCTAGATAGCCCTCAGGGGATCTATTACTTAAAATTTGGGTTTCATTTGATCCGACCTGGCTGTTCAGTTATCAACGAGAAGGAAATATATTGTTGAATGTGCTGTCTTACAAATATTTTTAAAAAAATTATATAAACAATATTGACAAAAATATTTAATTACGAATGGCGGTGCGTTAGTGATGTAACGGTGACTCACAATTTTATATATATGTGGTCTGATAAAAAAAAGTATCGGAATTAGTGCTATAAAAAGAAAAACACATAACTTCATCATTTAATCTCCTACGAAGTAGTTCCCTTCTGAAGCCACGCAATGTATCCAGCGTCGTTTCCATTGATCAAAGCATTCCTGGAACACATTTTTGGATAGCAAGCAGCTGCCTCGGTGCATTCTTTTTTGGATTTTATCGACGTTCCTTTACATATAGAATGTGAAGGCCAGGGACAGAATAGTCAGCAATTGGTCGGTATTCCTCGTGAGCGGGGTATTCTGACATTGATGTATTGCCTTTGTCTGGGTTTTGAATATAAGTTCAAAACGCGCGAATTCAATAGAGGGTCTCAAGGACTCTGAAGCGTCGATACGCCTCCCACACCCAGGTTAGCGACTGCCTAAGACCACCGAGTTTGGGGGGATACTGAGCCAACGGGAGACATGCGTTCCAGTAACGTCACTACCGCCTTTTAGACTACGAGCTAGCACATTAATAAAACAAATAACAAAATGAAATGTTGAAACAGTTTTATGTTGTAACATCGGGATTCAGAGATGACACAGAACGCAACACAAGTGGGATTTTATATTTGGAAACTCACAAAGGGGCGAGATCTCGGGAATATTTTGGAATGTTTTTCTTGGCCAAAAACTGTTGCCCAAAACATGGTCATTGATGGAGCATTTGTATTGTTGTGAGACGACCACACTCTACACACTTTCCTTTCAAGCATTGGTATAAACAACGGACGTGAAGAGAAACGTTATAACATAGTGTGCATACGCGACAGCTTTCATGGTCTATATATGTACCAAGTGGCTTCACTTTGCGTACTTTAGCTCCGTTACCATAACTACAGTCCGAATACTTAAAC